GCCAGACAGACAGAGAGAGACATAGAGACAGAAAGCGAGAAATCACCCCCTAGGGGGGGTTGGTCACACCGCAATCCCTTCTCCTCCATTCTCCTCTTGGGATCTTGGGCACGCAAGCACCCATGCCCGGCGTGAGTTTTAAGCCACCAGGTCCGGGACGGAAACTGCAGTCAACTATGTGGGAGTCCAGCGTCATAGCCATTACACTAACTGCTGGTTCCCAATAATCATATTTTATTCAGGATGTTTCTTGTAATCCTCTTAGATAAGATCCATGGAATTGACATGATGGGAACAGAATTTTTAGTAATATTTTTATGTAACTATATTTATACCATCCATAATTATTACAGAAACATTAAAGAAGAGAGATAAACCCATGCACTTTTTTTGTGGGAGGGTCTGTATTTTATCTTAATTGGTTACCATTATTGTATTTATAGAGTTAGAAATAATTAAGATTATAAAATCTTTTGTATACAGTAACCTTTATATTTATTTATCAACTGATGATTTAGACGGAAGATATCTTAACCTGAGACCAGTAGATACAAAGTCTCCAAGAGCAAGTTCCAGAAAGCTAGAAGCTTTCTTAGACTATCTTTATTTTAAAAATAAAATGGCCATCTATGGAAGCCCTGAACATAAATGATAAATCTTATGTCTTGATACATATACATATGTTTTTTCAAGAGACAGGAATCTAAATTTCCAACATACTGAAAATGATATAGGGACCAAAAACAGTTTTGAGAGAGAGAGAGAGTGAGAGAGAGAGAGAGAGTGAAATAAATGAAGAAAACTGCAGTTGAAAATAAAATCAGAATGGGGAAATAACATCTACAGTATGAAAGTCTCAAATTAAATCCCTTTTCACACATTATTTGTGTATCAGAATAACCTTGAGCATCAATTTGTACACTTGGGAAAGACGGGGAGTAAGAAAACTCGCTGCATTTTTCTCCCCTACGTATTTATGGTGAGAGTCAGATAGTGCGTATGCATGGGTTCCTAAAACTCATTGACGGATATCAATGACTTTACTTGAATAAATAGTTGTGATCATCCACCCAGCTACGTAAACATCTCATCTGATGGGGGGGAAAGACTGCTTCTTCAAGATGCCTATTTAATAAGAAATGAACATAGAACTGTGGAACCAAAAATATAGTGTTGGCAGAAATCTCAAAGCTATCACTCCTATACCTGAAAACACTGACCAGACTTTGTTCAGAACTTGTCTTTGAGCCATAGCAGAAGTTTTAAAAAGAAAATAAGAGATTTCAGTCCTGATTTTAAACAAACATAGCTATACTAAGAAAGATTTATATTAGCTCTCTTTTATTTCTCTATAGCTATTTATTTTACCAGCTAGTACGGGAGCTCACCAGGAAGAGACAGAGAGGCCCAGAGAGACAAAGAGACAGAAAGAGGGAGAGGAAGAAAGCACTGCTCAATGCGGTGTGGTCATTCCATAGCCCTCCTCCATTTCTCCATTCTGTTGGGATTTGGGGCACACATGCCCACATACCTGGAGTGCTTCTTTAGCTGCCAGGGATAGATTTTCAACCACATTGTCTTCCCTGTGAGAGCTGGCTCCCTTAACTACTAGGCCATGGGAATGGCCCTATTCCTCTATATCTAATGTAATATCAGTGACTGATATTTTTATTTTGTAACTGCAACAAAGAGAGTGTAGAGTCTTCTTTTTTTTTCATATTAATAATAAAAATATCACTAAGAGGGTTAAACTTAATGTCATAAACATAAAGAGATTTTTTCTCATAGAATGCTTTTCTTTTGTTACAGAATTTCATTAAAAGTCAAATATCTTATTTCTATTGGATTGGATTGTCCCGTATAGGAACGAGCCATCCCTGGACCTGGGAAGATAACTCAAAACCCTTTCACGAAATGTAAGTTTTTAGTATTGATAATATCCAATGGGTTCTATAATCACAGATTCTGGTTTAGAGTTCTAAGAATATATAGAGATAAATATGGATATCTACATATACATCTGACTAAATCACATATATGCAAGCATATCTATACATACATACACACACATACACACATGTAAATATCTGAAGGTCCTCTAAGCTCAGCTATAAAGGTGAGCACCTGGAGTAAAAAGGAGGCATTCAACTTCACTTCTATGTCTATTTCACATACAGCAATGTAGTTATGCTCAGAGCACCAAGACATCATTTCTAAAAGAGAAGAAATACATAGCACCTTAAATTTAGACAAATATTACCCCTTATGTCTACATTAGTGAATGTAAATTTTACTGTATTTATTTCCTTTAGATTTACTTTAAGTAATTGGAAAGAGTCTAATAGTGGAAATTGTGGAAGTCTAATAGCAACAAAGATGGATGCTTCTGACTGCTCCAGATCCATGTTCTACATTTGTGAGAAGAAAATCACTTGTCTTCCTACTTAATGATGAAAACAAAAATAACAGCAACAATGCAGAATTCATTTTTTTTTCTTTATAACAACACAGATTACTGGAAGTTCCAGAATCTCTTTTCTCTTTCGGACTATCTTTGCTATCTTATGGACTGTACCTGTATCTTAGCTTTTTGTTGAGACGAATCTGAAATATTGTATGTATTAGAATGAGGTCCAGCAGACCAACACTCCTGCCTTTTCACAAAAGTGTGAGGTCACACTATTTACAAGCACGTGTTGGAATGAGAGAGGCAGCACTTCTGATGAGGACTGGAAGCACAGTTCTCTATGTGCTCTTTCTGCATTGCACAGAGATTTCTAGGTCCTTCTGGAAACTTCAGTCATTGTCTGGCACCTTTTGGATGCCGAGAATAATTAATCACTCTTCCATATACCTTGTATTGCATTGCTGTGTAATTCCTAATGTTAAGAAAGACAGTATGTTCTACTAGAAATAGAATAGTATGTTAAGACTGAGTTTGAAAACTTTACCATGTTTGTGCTCCCTGGCAAGTCCAAAGTTCTGAGCTGTAGTGTTCTTATTGGTAAATAACTTCTAGATTGTTTTGCAAATGGGGTGTACCATTGTGTATTCCCACCAGCAATGTGTGAAATGCCATTTAATTCCATCCTTCCAACTTTGAATCTATTACATCATTTGGGGAACCATATTAATAATTGTATTATATAATAAAGCAATGGTTTTAATTTGTGTTCTTTAATGAATAAATTATATTGACTATCATTTCATGTTTTGGTTAGCCATATTTAGATGTTATTTATTCAAATATTTGACAATTTTTATTGCATTGTTTTCTTTTTTTTCTTACTATTTACTTATGAGAGTTCCTTGTAGATCAGGAACATACTACTTTATCAGCCATTTGCTTTATAAATATTGTCCCCCAGTCTTATATGCATAGCTTTCATTCTCTTAAGAGTATCTTTAAAGAACAGAAGTTTTTAATTTGACAAATTACAATGAATCCATTTTTACATTCATTATTTATGCTTTTTCCTCTGAGAAGTCTTCACTTAATCTAAGATTAACTTTTTCTTCTATTTTTTTCTGAAAAATTTAAGTCCAAGAACTGGGTTTGGGTGGGCCTTGGTATTAGAAATGGGGGCTGGAAAACTGCTGTCTAGAGATCTAGTTAGACAAGAGTGGATGCACAGGATGGGATGGGTTAAGCCAGAGCCCCTGGTTATCTTCCTTCCTGCCTTCTGGCTCTCCCCATTTTCTCTCCCAGATAAGCAATTAAGCTTCTATCCCTCGGGACTCTCCTCTTGACTCCTACTTATAAGAGCTGGGTCAGGTTTATATGTCAGCCTGGTCCCAATTTAAGTTAGATTACCAGGAGATTTAGCAAAAAAGTAAAAACCTAAACTATGACTGCATCGTCCAGCTAGAGCTTTCACATAGTCCATAGGCAGATGCTTCGTAAAACCTGCTGGGCTCCACCCTCCTGGCTAGACTCACCTTTCCTTATGGGGAAAAAAAATCTATTGATGTTTAGGTTCTCTTCCTAGTGCAGCATCTCTCTCATAGATCAGAAGAGATATAGGAAAATTCCTGGATATCTTAGAGAAGTGCTGTAATTAATTTGGCAATTTACCTTAACCTTTGATTTCATTTAAAAACACAAACAGAAAAGGGTGAATTGCCTGTGGCCATAGTCACCTGGGTCACTCCTGTTAGTCCTGAAGGCTGAGAACTTAGGTTCCACGGAGGGCAGGATCTAGAAAAGTCCAGACCAGAGCCTCTGCCTCAGAAGACTAGAGGTTTCCAATGTGGGAGGTGGACACTGGAAAAGACAATGCCTATGACTGGCATCCTTCTGTCCCCACTGGGGTCTGTCTCCAACATGGAGGAGTTGGCCGCTGGAAATGGAAATGTCCCAAACTTCAAAGGAATCCCAGACTTTTGAGTCCACATGGGCCTCTAAAGTTGAGGATTGATAGGGCCCAAGACCCCAACGGCTCCTCTGGAAAATCTAAAACTCTCACTGGACAAGTCTCAGTAACCCTTAAAGTGACAAATAAGAATTTGTTCTTTGAGATACTAATTTTTTTCTAAATCAGAGGTTAAGATTATTTCCAAAAGTAATCTTATAAGAAGAGAAATACAAGGAAAAATAATAGTAAATAGGAAAGAGAGAAAAGAATTATGAAGATAATTTTATAAAGAGATTTTATTGGGTTGTTGGGAAAGTCACGACTTATTTTTGTATAGAAAAACAGACTAATATATTGACTTTTCCAACAGTCTTTTATATATATATATATATATAGCAAGTTGATTAAAAATTTTAAGAAGATGTTTTCTATATTAAAAGACAATTTCTGGGACCAGCAGTTAGCATAATGGCTATGTCGCTGAACTCCCAGTTCAAGTCCTGGACCCGGTGGCTTAACCTTATGCTGGGCACGTGTGCGTGCATGCCCAAGATCCCGAGAGGAGAATGGAGAAGAGACTGTGGCATGGCCATCCCGCTGGGGGATGGAAGGGGGGAATTCTTGCTTTCTGTCTTTCTGTCTCTCTCTGTTTTTCTGGCGAGCACACATGCCCTATAGACAATGTCTTATCCCAGTCAGCTCTCCATATTCAAAAAAGCTCCTAAAGCTCATCCAGGGGACAGAAGTGGCTTTAGATGACCTCCTTCAAGTTGCCACTACTGCCTAGTGGTTAGAGCCACCAGGGGATTCCTCCAACTGCCCGTTCACAAAACCCTTACTTTGCCTGTCCTTGTTTCTTTGTTATGCCATATTGTCCTTACCCTCTATTAAGCTGAGATATTCTTACAAATATCAACACCACAATTATGTTGGGAGGGAGTGCTACCTCACAAAACCCATGACCTATTAAGTCTCTCACTGGGGCTACTTTGACAAATACCCTAGGAGTTTAAGGAGAAGAAGAGAGCAGAAATCAAGACCTGCAGCCTATTATCTCTTCACATTTTAACCTGCCTTTTTAATATTGGCCTGTTCTTTTACTGTGGCTCCTCTACTTACCTATGTTAACCTACTAACTGGACTGGGATATGCACCTTGGTCTACATTCCTTCACTCTTTTAGGACTCTTTCCTTTGACCTTCGACAAACCGTGAATGAAATATCCCAGAGTCTCTTCCAGATTCAAGACCATGTAGACTCCATGTCTGTGGTAACTCTCTAACCTAGACCTTCTCACAGTGGAAAATGGGGGTCTCTGTCTCTGTATGGAAGAGCAATACTACTTTCATCTTTCTCATTGAATTATATATTGGTTTCCCCCACTGTAACTCTTCTCAGTATCTGCAGGACCTCCACTCCTAAAAGTGATAAACCACTTCATTTGAGACACCATCCAACGATTGGCCCCAAAACAAGCTGAAAACATCTTGCTGCTCCAGAAGATATGATATTCACACCTGCCTCCAGAAGATCCACACCCCTCCTTATTACCCTAAAGGACAACACCCCTTCTCAGCTTGAAGCAGCTCCAGAAGACTGATCATCGCTCATAATTCCTTGTCCCATCCTCTCCCCTCCCCACCTTTTTTGTTTTTTAATAAAAGATAAAAGCTGGAAATGTTAGAATGGCCCCTGAATGGCCTTCAGGTATTTTCCCATCAGAAAATAAAAAGACAGTTGTAGTGACCTTTGGCCAGAATCTTCCAGCCAGAGCCTTCCCTTACTGGCAGCCAACACCCTTAGATGGGCTGATAAAGAGACAGTGGCAAGAAAGCTAATCAAAGTATCCACCATTCTTATAACCTTATCCTTCCATCACTCCCACATAAATATATCATGTCTCCTCACTAGAGTGGGTTGAATCACCTTGTGCTTTAGACTCCTAGGTGCTCTTTCTCTCAGTAAACTTTCCTAATTTCTCTTGATTAAAAAAAAGAAGAGCTTTAAGTGTACATTAAATTTTATATCGGACCTAGCAGAAGGCATAGTGATTATGTTGCTGGACTCCCACGTGGCTAATTGCAGTTCAAGTCCTGGACCTGGTGGCTTGAAAATCACACTGTATATGTGTGCATGCATGCCCAAGATCCTGGGAGAATATAGGAGAAGGATTGCAGCATGGCCATTTCCTCTATGGGGTAATTTGGCTTGAAACTCACATTGGATACATGTACTTGCACGGCCAAGATCCCAGGAGGAAAATGGAGGAGAAGGGATTGCAAAGTGGCCATCCCCCCTCCGGGGAGGTGATTTCTCACCTTTATTCTCTGTCTCTCTATCTCTGTGTCTCCAGCAATTGTATGTGCCCTATATCAAAAATCTAAATAAATAAATAAATATAATGTGAGTTTCCCACCTCACTTTTTAAAAATATATTTTGAGTTGTTATTTCTTTTACTAAAGAAAATTCTACAAAATGATCAGATCCTGATTTGTAATTCCATTCTCCAATAAAAGAGACCAAGAATCCTTAAAGAAATGGTAAATTTCAAGACAGGGGAGGCAAATCTATAAGATGAGCCTGAGAATTTTGTGGTGCCAGGAAGAAGAGAAATGGTTAAAATTATGAGAAATGTCTAAAGTTTACAGGAGTCAGATAAAAGAATCCTGAGTGGGGAAACCTGGCAGTGGCACAGGTGGAATGCAACTGAACCCAAATGGGAAATTTTGTAAGTCACATACCATGAACTGGGCACTCTGGGCTCAAATATCTGTTACTATAATCTGGGTGGGCTGAGATTGTGCTTGGATCACAGCATGGAGCTATTATTGGGAATACCTGTCTATTTCATGGAAGAAATAAAGGAAGAACTTTTAAAACTAGTAATTCTTAAGAACCAAAAATGGAACAAATTAAAGCACAAATAAATAAATCTATATTGAAGGATAAACAAAGGTATAAAACAAATAGCCATAGTAGTATTAAAATTATTGAAAAAATAAATAAATGAAGAGATAAGACAATTCTCCCATGCAGAAAAATTCAAAATACATTATATAGCCACTGTTGCTTGAAAGGTGTGGGGAATAACTCTCTACTCCTTTAACATTTAGTGTGCATAGTGATTTCAATTAGGATATTATGACATAAATGTGGAAGGAATAAAAAAATCATTTTAGGGTAGAAAAATCTGGAAAACACTACCTCAATAAAGTGATCAAAGTTATCCACAATTATATATCATAATGATAGTATGTACCTTTGATGTGGTGTGACGAAATGGCACACTACCTCAGGTTCTTTTAAAAATATCAGTTTTTGAATGAAAATTTCAAGTAGTATTCATTTGTTTTGCTATGGCAGCCAT